TGAATAAAGTCAAAACGTGTCAACTAAAAAAAACAGAGGTATTATTAATTAAGTGAAATATTCTCATATTCAGATATAAGATTACGAACACACTTGTTGATCAATTAAAAATTTTCAAAATTTCAATTTTAACACAGTTACAACTTAAAAGTGAAAATTTCAATTTTAACACAGTTACAACTTAAAAGTGAAAATTTAAGAAAGAAACAAAAATAAAACATTTAACTTGGTTAAAAATTGTGGGAAATTCTTCCCCCCAAATGGCTAAAACTCCAAAATTGTTAGTGGGAATACTCCCTCCAAATTTCCAAGAGTAAAAGTAAAGTGGCTAAATTCTAAAATACAATAAACAAAAATAAAAGTAAAACAATATGAAAAAAAAACCTAATTACGAATTTACGATCTTTCAAAAAAAAAATAAGAAAAAAAAAAACCCTACAGCCCTAAATCTTCCTCAGCCGTTTTCACTCTCTCTTTTGTCTTCACTCTTCTGACTTCTCTAATCTTATGCTACTCATCTGCTCTCAAGCGCTCCGGCAAAGCAAGGTTTCCCTCTTTCTATCTTCCTCTTCTTTATTGCGGTTTTTTGTTTCAAATTTTATGATTTTTAATTCAAGTTTTGTGATTGATTGATGTTAATTTGATACTTTGAGATTAGGTTTTGATTTTGCAATTTTTTTCACTTATAGGAAGCCAATTCACGAGCTTCCTATACTTGAGGTGCGCTTAATTTGATTTGCATGTGGTTCTCCATTCCCTCAGTTGAAGCGCGGCTTCTGAGCTTTCTCTCCTCCATTGAAGCTAGCCTTTGAGGTAAAGATTTTCTTTTTAGATTATTGAATATCAATCAATGTCTCAATTTAGAGCTTAATTTCAGATTATCGGATTTAAGGTTTTTGAAAAGATAGCCAATTTAGGGTTCTTGAGTATAATATTTATGCCATTTTTCTTGAATAAGAGACTGTTAAGGTTTTTTCATTTCACAGTTCTTTCTCAAAAACTTTGTATATGTATGACTAGATAAAGTAGCTTGAATTGGGATTGTGAAAGCTTCCTTTCTTGCATCGTATGACTAAACTGCTTCTCAACTAGTCATAATTGTTTAGCTCTGAACTACTTATGTGGTTCTCAGTTCTCACTGCATTGTCTGTCGAAATATGAACCTATTTCAGTGTTAGAATTTCATATCCTAATGATTGGGAATCAATTCTGCCATATTTTCATCATGATCAGAAGTTATTCCAAACTCTTTTAGGTTTCTCTATGACCATCAAGACCCCTTTGTTTTTGCTGTTTCCCTTTTTTTCATGGAATAATTTATTAAATCTTCATCTTTAAATACAGAAGGTTGCTTTTCCCTTTTTGATTGGTTTAGATATTATTATTTTGTCTCCACTGCACACCTTATCTTAATCTGACAATAACTAATGATATTATTCTTGCTTTTTTTGCAGCAATGGATGATCATATTATTTACGACGAGCCTATCATTTCACCAGAGGGAATAGAGGTGAGTGTACACCAAAGGAAGAAGCCAATGTTCGTACACTAGAGGAAGAAGCCGGTGATCCTGAACTTACAGCTGAAAACAACAATATGAGCACTATGGAATCTGGATTTCAAGTTGTAGAAAAGAAAGGGGAGTCTAGTTTGGCCGGAATTTCTCACGTTTGACAAGACGGAATCTAGTGATGGGAAACAGAGGTCAATTTGCAAAGATTGCCAAAAAGCATCCTTCATAACCGACCCCCATTATGGAACCCAAAATATGCAAAGTCATCTAAGAAAATGCAGTGCATATGAGAAATATTTGAAAAACCAAGGAGGAAACGGTTCAAACAAAGGTAAAATCTTTAACCAAATTGTGTATAGAAATCTGGTAGCTAAAGCCATAATAAAACATGGGTATGCTTTCTCTTGGGTAAGCATGATGGTAATAGATAAATTCATGCATATTTAAGTGATGATGTAAAATTCATTTGTAGGAACACTGCTAAAGCTGATTGTTTAAAAATGCATAAAACTTTGAAGGCTCAATTAAGGGAAACACTTAGTAAAGTCTCTAGTCGTATCTCATTAACATGTGATATGTGGACCTCGTGTCAAACTGAGGGATATTTGTGTCTGACAGCTCACTATGTGGATAACAATTGGAAATTAATTAGTACAGTGCTTAACTTTAGTCATATTGATTCACCACACACTAGAAAGACCATGTATGCTGCTGTGTTGTCCATGCTTCAAGATTGGGGAACTGATGATAAGATTTTTTGCTTCACATTAGACAATGCCTCTAGTAATGATAGAATGCAAGATTATTTGAAGGAAACTCTACTTGCACGAAATGCTTTGTTGTATAATGGTGAGTTTTTTCATGTACGATATGCTGCACATGTATTAAATCTCATTGTTAAAGATGGACTTAAGGTCATTGAACATATAGTTGAGAAAGTAAGACATTGTGTGAAGAAGGTAAAATATTCTGAAACAAGAAAAAACACTTTTCGATCTTGTGTAAGTCTAGCTAAGATAAAAGAAACAAAATCATTGTGGCTTGATGTTCCTACGAGGTGGAACTCCACGTACATGATGCTTGATAGGGCTATCTTATATTGTGAGGCTTTTAGGGAGATGTCTAAAGTTAAAAAATGGTGTCCTGCCTTTGAAGAGTGGGATGTTCTTGAGAAGATTCGAGATGTTTTAGAACCGTTCTATGAGATAACTAAGATGTTCTCGGGAAGTGAGTATCCTACCTCAAATCTTTATTTTGGGAATGTTTGGAAGATTCTCATGCTTTTGATAGAGTTGGAGCACGATGATGATGATGTTTTGAGGACAATGGAAACAGAATTGAAGAGCAAGTTTGATAAGTATTGGTTTAACTCAAAACAAGATGATTATGGCATGTGATTTGCATTTGCTATGATTCTTGATCCTCGTTGCAAATTATTAGTGCTAAAGTTTTGTTATGAAAACATATTTGTAGATGTTGAGGCTACCTTGAGAGTTAGTGATCTCCACCTTAAGTTGGAAAAACTTTATAAGCTATATGCCTTAACTGGAACATCATCGACACTGAACAACAACACTGATATGGCACATGCCTCTCATTCCAGAGCCTCCATAAGCAGCACTTCAGCTGGAAACCACAAGCGAAAATTCGACTATTTTGCGGTAATTGTTCTTCTGTTATTTTATTTTGACATCTGTGCATGTCTTTTGGCCGTTCTCAGGAACTTGAAACAATTTAAGCATAATTTGCCTCCTTTTAAACATCAGCTTTTGACAAACCCTTCAAATCCTTATTAGGATTAAAGCCTATCATAATTACTTATGCTTGGATCTTTTAGCATGTTGGCTAGTAAATGGAGAGAGTTATTCTGTATTTGTATGCCTATATTAAAGCTTTTGTAGAAAAGATCTATTGACCTGGAAACTTGGGCAAGTTGATGCGTCGTCTGCTCTTTTTTATTTTATTAGAATTAGAAGTTATATACTAGCTTGTTGTGAAGTGGTATTCTGAGCTTTTTGACGTTGTAGCTGGGATTAATTAAAGATACTTGAAAAGTACTCTGTACTATTTTTTAATTGCCAAGCCTTTATGTTTTGCACTCTGTTGTGACGACCTGAACTCTTTTTCTTGGAACTTCATTAGAAAATTACTTTATTTCTTTTCAATTCCATGTGATGGGAGATTTCCTTCCCAATTGCTTTTGCCTGTTTTTTCTATTTGTTATAGATCTTGTCACTCATCCTATTACATGATGTTCTACTCTACTTCAACACTTTTTCTTCTCTTTGCTGTTTTTTTTTTGGGAAAGTCAAAATGTTGGACCCTTGTGACTTTCTCATATTAAAGTTGAAGAAAATTTAAGAAGAACTTCTGTAAAACCACCCCACCTGAGTTTAAATAATTTTAGCAGGTCATTATGTTAAATTACTAGTTATAATACCTGGCTATTTGGCAGTTAACTTATATTTGCCTTCTGTTTTTCTTGTGTTTACTTTATTTTTTCTGTCAATTATAATCCTTTTGATTATCCTTCATTCTTAATCTATTGATTAGGCTGTATTTTACATATTTGCCTTCTGTTTTTCTTGTGTTTACTTTATTTTTTCTTTCAATTACTGGTTTTTTTTATGATTATAAGTAGTTGTTATTAAGATTATAAGTTAAGTTAATGTTATAAGTTAAGTAGTTGTTATTAAGATTACAAGTTAAGTTTATGTTGTTTTGTTTATTGATGTGTTTTATGGTTTGTCGTTGACTTGTTGTGTTGAATTCAGGAATATGACGATAAAGAGGCCTCATCTTCTTTTGATGAGAGGTCAATATTGGATGTTTACATTGAGGACCCTAAACTAGATTGGAAAGCGGAGCTTGACATATTAGCTTTTTGGAAAGAAAATGAGCATCGATATAAAGGCCTTCTCATTTGGCTAGAGATATTTTGGCCGTGCCCTTGACAACCGTCGCTTCCGTATCAACTTTCAGCAGTGGGAGTCGAGTATTGAATAAATGGAAAAGTTCATCAATTCCTGAAAATGTGGAGGCTTTAATAACAACTCGTAGTTGGATGTACTCTTTTGAAAGTAAATATTTTATTATATTTTTTTAAAATATGTATATTCATATTCTTGCATTATTCTTGTTTAGAGCTGTACATTTTTGTTTCTTTATTTTTGCATTTATAGTGTATTTGCTTATATTATTGTTTTTATATTTATGTAGCAAATGAGTATGATGGGTGAATTGCTAAACGTCGCTCCCAATTTACCAGGCGCCGCTCCCATTTTAATATGAAGTGACCATTTTGCCCTTTTCTTAATTTGGGCTATATAAGGCTCCACCACTTTGTCACAAAGATTCCCGAGCATTTTAATATTATTCGCGAGCACTCTGACCCACCACTTGCTTTAAAAAATTCCCGAGCCCACCACCAAAAACCTAATTTTTTTTTTTAAAAAAATTATCAAGCTTTAGCGACGGGTTTTGGACGATGAACGACGACAACAATCGTACACCGGAGGCATTGTCGGAAGAATCTGTAAGTCGTAGAATTTTTTTTTTTTTCTGATAAGAGGACTTCCGCTCAGAAAATCCGGATGCTCCATGGAGGATCCACCTAAGATTTCCGGATCCACCATGGAAAATCCGGAAATTCTAGGCGGATGTATACATCGCCTGGAATTTCCGGATCTTCCATGGAGGATCCGGATTTTCTGGGCCGAAGTCCCGTTATTATTATTATTATTATTATTATTATTATTATTATTATTATCATGATTATTATCATTATTGTTGTTGTTGTTGTTGTTGTTGTTGTTGTTTTGTATTATTACTGTAATGGTGAGCATAAATTGGGTTGCGCAAAAAATGTGGTTTGTAATTGTTATTAATATTTTTATTATTGTTATTGTTATTGTTATTATTAGTTATTTTTTTAATATTAGTTTATGTTAATGTTAGTTAATATTAGTTAATGTTGTGATATTAGTTAATGTTAGTGTTAGTTAATATTAGTTAATGTTGTGATATTAGTTAATGTTAGTGTTAGTTGATGTTAGTTAATATTAGTTAATGTTATGATATTGGTTAATGTTGTGATAATATTGTGATATTATTATTATTATTATTATTATTGTTATTATTATTATTATTGTTATTATTATTATTATTATTATTATTGTTGTTGTTGTTGTTGTTGTTGTTTTATAAATATTGTTATTAATATTATAATTAAAATAATAATATTGGAGTGTTTTGTGTGTTTTCTTTTATTTTTATAGGATTCGGAGTTTGAAGACGGCGGTGACGGTGTTAATTATAGTGCAAATTTTGTCACGGGCACGTTTTTTCCAATGTTTGATGATCCAGTTAAATGGGCGGATGCTGTTGCCATAAATCTGGGATTTATTTTGGTTAAATCGTCATACAACAAAACCAGAGATGGTCGACTGTATCGATATTTGAGATGTGATCGGGGACGAAAGAGCAAGCCGAGAGATCTTGAGAACGCAATTCGGAAGGACACAAAAACCAAAGCTAATGGTTGTCCTTTCTACATCAGATATATTATGAGTTCATCACCGATAGTTGGAAGATCCGGGCAAAAAATGATGCAACTGGGACCCATAACCATCCAATGATTGTGTATCAGGAGGGTCATCATAAAATTAGTGGCTTGAGCCCGGATGCGAAGAAGGTTGTGCATGACATGAAAAAGTCCAAGGTTGCACCGCGTAACATCATGGCGACTATTGCAGAGCAATTTCCTGATGATCATTCAAACATCAGACACATTTACAATTGTCGGAATGACTTGAGAACGAAAATGTCTGATGGGAAAGGAGTTGTTCAGCAATTTCTTAATTTGGCGAGACATAGTCAGTATATTTACTGGGTCATGTCTGATGATCTCGGCGTTCTACATTATGCGTTTATGGTGCACCCAATCACGGTAAACATACTACGCACGTACCCACATGTGATCGGTATGGATTCGACTTACAAGACCAACCGATACGGAATGCCGTTCTTTAAGATAGTTGGTGTTACACCGACAAATCAGAATTTCCTCGTCGGTTATGTGTTCATGCGCAACGAGTGCACGACAAGCTATCGGTGAGTTTTGCAGAGATTAAGAGAGTTGATTGGGTATGATAAGGAACCCTCAGTATTTTTGACAAACCGTGAGCTTGGCCTCTGTGCGGCATTGAGAAAAGTGTTTCCAGGGACGTCGCATTTACTTTGTCGATGGCACATTAACAAAGATAAGGAGTCTCGGGTCACTGATATGTTCAAAAACAAGAGGATTGGTGCGACTTTCAAAAACGGCAAATGGAAACGTATCATGGATGCTGCAACCGAGGCGGATTATAATGCTGCTGTAGATACAATGAAAGCTCGGTGGGCAAGTTATCCGACAGTGATTAGTTATGTTGAGAAAACATGGCTTTGTCATAAGACCAAATTTGTGACATTTTGGACGAACCAAGTTCTTCACTTAGGTAACACGAGTACTTGCGGAGTTGAGAGCCAACATTCGGCCGTGAAGATGTGGTTTGAATCTTCGACAGGTTCGTTGTTATTATGTTGTAGTTGATGTATTTACTTCGTTTTAGTTATTTTAATTATAAATCATAACGGTTTTTTATAATTTTAATCAACGGCTGGTTCTTTGGATACCGTATGGGTCCGAGTACATTGTCATATTGGTAATCAGATCATTGCAATTCGTAATGGTTTGGAGGCGTCTAGGTTTTGGTGAGAAGTACAGACAATTGCCACTGTCACGTATTAACGGCAAGGTGTCTCAGCATTGTTTGAAAGTTCTCGATGACGAAACGAGAAGGATGAGGGAGCTGAGTTATCAGGTGTATGTGCATTGTGGATGTGCAATGCGTGTGACCCACGGTTTTCCATGTGCTTGCCAAATACATGATTTGCTAGTTGCACAAACAAGCTTTTATATCAAGATAAGTCATCCGTTCTGGAAGACCTTGGTTATCGGTGATGGTGTTGATGTACCGGTGTTCGTTAACGACTCAACCGAGGAAACTGCACATTTTCGTTCCCTGGTTGATGAGGTCATTGGTAGTGATCCTGCTATACTTTGAAATGTATCTCGCATCATTGAGGAGGAGCTGCATTGGGATAATTCAAATCTTGAAGATCCACATGTAAACCACAACGTTCGAGGTCGACGAAGGAACAATGATACAAGACGTGATCCTTGTTATTTCGAACATTTCAACCGTCGAAACACTCAACGTGGTGCACAGCAAACAAGTACGACTGGCTATTGTGATTTACACGTATTTCATCTTGTAGCGTACTAATAACTGAACATTAATTTTGTGTAGAAGATCCATGTGACATCAGCCAATACAGGTATTTGCACTTGCCTTCTGGATCGATGTTGCATTAATTAGGCATTGAACTCATTTATGTACTTTCACTTAGGTTGAACAGTTGTAGCTATGTAATATAAATAAATAAAAGTAATTAAACAAAGTTTCAACAAAACCAAATATGAAAGTGTCCAGTTCTTAAATTACATGCCGAATACAAAGTAGTATAAAACAATGAGTACAAGTAATATAAAACTAAAAGACAAGTAATTCACAACCCCATCATCGCCTTCCAGTCATCTCGGAGCTACTCAGCCATTGCCCTTGTTCCACGCGACATGTTGGGATACTCATCCAGTGATCTGTTGATAATCTCCATGGACAGACCCATCCATTGCAAATAAGAGAATAACATATTATAGAAATTACAATTTTTTGAAGTGGTATTTATAGTAAAATAAAACACAACTACTTACATTATCCGTGTTAGTCCTCTCAAGTAGTCTGGTACTCCCATTTGATGACCCACCAGGAGAAAGACGAGGATGAGAAAATCGGTACAGCCACTGCATGTAACCAGGAGCGACCGTAGGAGCTCCACCACCAAGTCTGGTGAGGGGACCTAAAACAACACTGAAAGAAGAGCCAAGGAAAAACCGAGTTCACATCACAGATGTCATCTCGGTCGGAAAGTTTACCCGATACATCTTCAAGTTCGTCGGTCTCTAGGCCTTCTCGGACCTGATAATGGTCCTTGGAATGTCCTACACGAATCCAAGTTGTCGAACCACTCGATCAAGAATGTATGGCTCAATGATGCTACGGTACTGGATGAAGCCAATAAATAAAGTGGCTGGCACGTGTCGTGCAGGATCAACTCCGTACGGTAGCCAGTTAACCTCATTGTCAGTCAACTGATCCAATCTAGCACGAAAAGCGAGGAGGCGCTCCATGGGGCATGTTGGGGCATCCCGATCCAACATCCCAAGCAGACGCACAAGGAATACTAAGCTCCCTTGTCAAGGTACCCTTTTGAGGCCGGAAGCACGAAAAGTACTCGTAGATCCACGCCTGCAGAAGCGTGAGACAACCAGCGATTGAATCAACATCTTTTCGTGATGCCGTACCCAATTGCCGATACAGATATGCTAGAGCAACTGAACCCCAAGAGAACTCATTAATCGGAAGATCATCAACAAAAGCTCGTTGAGGAAGGGAGGATGAGTACGGTTACCACTCTTGTCCAAAAACAGACATCCGCCTAGTACTAACCACATGTAGGCACTATAATGGACACTGAAGGGCCTCTGCGCCTCCAAGGTTGAGTCCATAATCCTCTCGGTCAGCACCCCACTACCATGCCAAATAGTTTTAGTACCGCACTTCTCATTCAGCTCTTCCGCAGTCATATCCATGGTAACCGAGCACGCGTCCCGTATGACGTCTGTGCTAGGAGTAGTGGAAACCATGGAACCATCAACACGAAGCCCAAGAATATGGTACACATCATGCATCATGATCGTGATCTCCCCAAATGGCATATGAAATGTGTTCGTATCTGGCTGCCATCTCTCAACAAAAGCAGAAATCAACGGCCAGTCAAAATGCCTAAACATGATCCCGAGTAAGTGAGACATGCCATTGCCATCAATTAATTCCAGGTGCTCCTGTGCAAGATGACCTCGCTAGTTAACCAATTCAGAACACAACTGTGTCCTGCTCAAACAGCGCAAAACATTACGCTCCTGCCCCCCCCCCCCATATATATGCAGCCACGTGACCACCAAAACTAGAGATAACAGTACCATCCTCAGGACCACCTGACATTGGCTGCTGCACTACCCATGTCTCTGCTGAGCTGGTAGAAGGCTGACTCGCTTGACTACTATTAACAAATCTCCCATGCTGACCCCTATATACCGTATGATAATCCTGAGGGTCATACTCTTCATCTCGATCAGCATGACTTGCCCGCTCTTCGTCCTCACCGTCAGATGTAGGCACTCCACCCGATTGAGTACATGGGGAGGCTCCCTTGTGACTGATACTCCCCCGACCAATTACCAAGAGACCTATATTGCTGCTCATGATGAAACGGTGCCCCTGTATTTACTGAACGACCCGACTCCCTCCTAACAGACGCATTCAAACGTCTTGATATTGCATGACGAGCACCCGAACCCTCAATCTACATTAAATAAGTACAAAATAAAATATCAGTAATAATTACAAATATAACTATGATATTAAAGTTGAACAACTAACATTCAAATTCAAAAAAAAAAAAAAAAACAAATCATAATTACAATAATAACAACATTAATAACAATAACAACAACAACAATAATAATAATAATTATAATAATAATAATTATAATTATAATAATAATAATAATAATAATAATAATAATAATAATAATAATAATAATAATAATAATTATAAACCACAAATTTCGCAACATACTACTAACAATATTACAAAACAACAACATCAACAACAATAATAATGGTAATAATACTAATAACAACAACAATAATAATAATATTCCCAACGATAATAATAATAACAACAACAATTATAATAATAGTAATATTGCTACTAATAATAACAATCCTAAAACTAATAACATTACTAATAATAATTTTAATCGGTTATTTAAAAAATATTAATCACAAAAAAAAAAATATTAAGCACGAAAAAAAACATAAAATTAATCACAAGAAAAAAAATTGGAAATTTGGGACATCCGCCTGAAATTTCCGGATGTTCTTTGGGACATCCGGAAATCTCAGGCGGATGTCCCAAAATTTCCGAAACTCTTTTTTTTTTTTTTTTTTTTTTTTTTTTTTTTTTTTCTGATTTAACCAACAAATTCCGGAATGTACTTGTTCGCCGCCTCCAATGCCGCCACCACGACCATCGTACGTCAACCTAATTCGCCGTCGGTCCGCCATTGTCGGATTTCTTCTACCCTCCTTGGATTGGTGGTGGTTGTGGGTGTTTTTCTTTTTAATTTTCTGTTTTTTTTATATTTTTTTATTTTCAGATTATTTTTTTTTCTAAATTTTTGAGTTTTTAATTTTTGGAGAGAATTTTAAATTTTAGAGAGATAAAATTTTAGAGAGAGAAGTACGAGCATGAAATGTGTTGTAAGTGTCGTGAGTATTTATATACGAGGGGTAAATACGGAATTTTATGAAAAAATGCGAGCGACCCCTTGTAATTTGGGAGCGACATTTAACAACACCCAAGGGTTGTTGAATTACGCCTTCATTTTATCAGGTAACGTCCGCATTTAAACATGAATAGACGAATATACCCTCGCCTATATTCCACGTTTTTCTTGCCTCTAACTCAATGAAACATTCTCTCATCCCAACAAACCACCACCAACCACCACTGATCGAGGGCGAGGTCATCGCCGAAAATTTATGCCGTGTTTTTATGGGTGTAGGCCAAACTCCTAGTTCTTTTTAAAAAGTCCAAGGAGAAAACGCTTAGAATTTTCGAATTCCTAGGGAGAAACTAAAATTCTAGGCGTTTCTCCCCATGGAGTTTCGAAAATTTAAGGCGTTTATTTTCCAATTTTTTTTGCGGTTTTATTTTTATCATAACTTTTGATCCCGAACTTGAATTAAGACAAACAATATACCGTTGGAAAGCTCTATATGTCTACTTTCCAACCCATTTAAAATCAGGTCAATATCATTTTTAGATATTAAAATATGACCGAAATAGTGCAAGGGTATCGGTTTTGGACCTAGTTTAGTATTTAAGCCATATCCTAAAATCTAGAAATGATTTTAACATGATTCCAATTAGATTAGAAAGTAGACAACCAGAGCTTTCCAACGATATATTATTTGTCTTAATTCGACTTCGGGATCAAAAGTCATGATAAAAACAAAAAAGGTAAAAAAAATGGGAAAAAACGTCTAAAATTTTCAGAACTCCATGGGGAGAACGCCTAGAATTTTAGTTTGTCCCTAGGAATTTTGAAAATTCTAGGTGTTTTCTCCTAGGATTTTTGAAAAAACTAGACGTTTGGCCTCCAACAAAAAAAAAAAAAAACGACTTAAATTTTTGGCCTCAGTCGGTGTTAGTTGGTGGTGGTTTGTTAGGATGAGAGAATGTTAAAATATTGAGTTAGAGGGAAGAAAAATGTGGTGTATATGCGAGGGTATGTTCGTCCGTTACCCGATAAAATGAGGGCGTCATTTAGCTTGGAACAATTAAACACGAAGTGACAAAAAATTCCAATAAATGAGAGGATGATTACTTGATAGGGTAAACCTAATAAATTCATCCTATAAACACCATGATCAATTTTGATGGAGATGAATAGATGATACATAATACAGTACTTACAATATACGGAAACCTTTGAGAAGATTTGAGAAGCCCACGATCCTCCGATGGCTTCCTTCGATTCTCACCGCAACAATGGCGATCCTTTAGAGGAGGAAGACGAAGAAGAGTACGAAGAAGTTGAGGAAGAAGAAGAGGTTGAAGAAGAAGAAGAATATGAAGAGGTAGAAGAATATGAGGAAGTTGAAGAAGAAGTAGAAGAGGAGGCAGAATTCGAAGAGTTGGAGGAAGAAGCTGCAGAAGAGGAAGAAGTTGCAGAAGAAGAAAAAGTTGCAGATGATGATGTTGAGGAAGAGGAGGAAGAAGTAGAAGAAGAAGAAGAGGTTGAGGAAGAAGATGAAGAAGAGTACGAGGAGGTTGAGGAATACGAAGAGGTTGAAGAAGAAGTAGACGAAGAAGTAACGGATGATGAAGAAGATGCAACAATGGCGGAACAAGGTTCGAATTTGGGTAAAGAGGATGCGAATTTGGCGGAACAAGATGTAAAAATGGCGGAAATCGAAGGCGATGACAACGACGGAGAAGGAGAAGGGGAAATCAATGATGTCGCAACTGCAATTGCTGCTGCGAAATCGAATTCGCCAGTCTACGGTTTGTTGTCTTCAATTTCATTCACTAATTGCCGATTTGTTTGATTTTAATAGTTTGATTGCCGAGTTTTGCTTCAATTTGTTTTAATTTTTGTTGATCGTTAATGTTTTTGCTTTGCTTGCATGTTACTTGATGTTGTTCGTTTGAATTTGATTTAGATAATGAGTTATATAACCTTGATCTGGTACATACCCTTAGGATTAATTGGATTGGGATGATGTGCAGAAAGTATAGCAGACGGCTTTCGATCATCCCATCGAATTTATAGGGTTTGTAATTAGTTGAGCTACAGAGTTCTTTTGAGATCTTCTACATCCCATTATGCTAAATTCTCCATTTTGGGGCATTGATCAATCAAAAGTGATTTGAGGAAGTAGATTCTGTGTTAAATTTATGGGTTGAAATGATGTGGCTATTATGGTTGAACAAGCTTGTTGTTGTAACTGGATGGAACAAAGGATGCAGCTATTATGGTTATCTTAGCTTCTTGTTATAACTAGTTCTAAGCAGCTTTTTAGTGTATAAAATCTAAATATCTAATGACTTGTCTAGGAAAGGTGGGTTGCACCAAGTGTATTTAAGATGAATTTTTGCCATGTGCTTAGGGTGGAGTTGAGTGATGCTTGTTGATTGTCGTTTTATGGCTTTAAAAAGTATTCATTTACTTCCGAAAACTCAAATTCTTGGTCAAATTAGACTTTCCGGAAGCTTCTATCAACCCTTGGAATTAAGGCTGTTGGGTTTTACTTAGAATTTATAAAATTTGACTAATTTTGTAATTTAGAATCTTATCTCTAAATATTAAGAAGGCAAGGAGCTGGATGGAGTATTCTTCAAGGATTAAAATCAATTTATGTACTTAAGTTACCATAATTATGATGGATTATCTTGGTTGTTAATTTGTGTCCCATGGTTATTACCCTTTATAAACATTACACCTTGGCATGGTTGATTGGAGTGATTTGAGTGTAGTTGTATTATGACGAAGAAACCTCAAATATGGGTGCTTGTGAAAGGTTGAGGCTTGAGGGCACATATCTTGGTGTTTGATCCACCATATTTAGCAAATCTTGGTTATTAGAGCTACATTAAGAAATATTATGGAAGAAAGGAATGAAATAAAGAGTATGAAGGAACGAGGGATTAGAAAGAAGAAATTTTAAAATGCATATTCTTTTCCCTTTTGGTGTTTGTAAAAGGAAAGTGGGGAGAAACCGAGGTAAGTCGAAAATTTAAGGTTATATAATGATAAAAAATTAGGTGGCTGGAGTGAGGTATAGGAACCCCATTTGATGGGGAATTTGGCTATATAAAATGAAAAAAGTGGGTGAGTGGAGTTTGTAGGCCTCTTAGGAGGGGCATTTGAAGGAAAATCTAGCCATTGAAAGGAAGATTTTAAATCTGAAGATTTTAAAAAGGATTGGAAAGGAAAGCGTTAACTCTGCCAAGTTATAAGATGTTGGAGTTTAACCTAGTTAACATTTATGATACACTTTGTTTTTCCATGGTTATTTGGAGCAACTTCCATGTGTAGTGGTATTATTAGCTTGTCATGGGTGCGTGTGAAGGGTCGGTAGTCTTGATGGTCTTGGCATTTTACATACTGTTGTTATAGGCTATAGCATATAGGGCATTAAAGCTAAACTATAATATTGGTTTCAGACAAGCATTAACTGTTTACAAACAAAAGCTGTGAAAGAACGAATAACTAATCGAAAAAAGTAAAATAACTAAACATGATATCATTCTATTGTTATTCATTTCATTATATTATTCAATAAACTTGTACTTTTCTTTTGTTAAATGATGAAGTTTGAACTAATTGCGTAGCATCCTAAGATTTAGGGATACAAATTCTAAGGAACAAGAAAAGAAAAAACAAAATTATTAGGAATCTGATAAAAAAAATCATAAAATGTTCTTTACTATTATCTTTCTTTCTTATACTCTGAAATCAAACCAATGAAAGGTGAATTTAGAGAAGGCGAATTCTAGAAGAAGAAAGAAAATTAAGATGATCTAGATTCGTTTCTCTTAACTTAAATTGGTAAGAATGCATACAATACTCTCTTATGATATTTTCCTTTACGTAATTGTTGGAAGATCTAATGCTTTGAATTTTAACTTCTATGTGGCTTGAAGAAGAAATAATTTTTAGATGAGAAGGAAGAAGAACTGGATTTATTCCTTTGATGCATAACCAACCCTCATATCACATATCCTTTTCTTCGTTACGAAGCTATTGAAAGATCTAATGCTTGCTTCATGTTCCATTATGTCGACGTGTCGACTTTGGTACACAAGTGATGTTAGCTCTTTTAATTAGACTATAGGACATGGAATAGGATTAAAAAACATACTACATTACGTTAAGAGGCTATCATCTTAAGATGATAATAAGTTGATAGTAACTTGGCTCGTCGAAGTTTGTATGAAGATTGACTTGATATTTTAATTAAATAGTTAGAACAACACTAAGTGTGACTTTAATAGCTTGTGAGCATGTTCAGAGCTTTAAAGGACTACATATTTTGAGGGTTACAAAATATTTAAAACTTGGTGTTGTCAAGAACATTGTATTATTAAAAGATTATATGCTCGTGCTTACTAAGTTTACATTAAGCTACAAGCCCATATGGCTAAGCATTAAATCTAGGTCACTCATTGTGTCGTGATCGCCTAAATATGTATGAGGTGGAAGGTGGTCTTGCAACTATTATTGCGACATGACTACATTGGATAAGCTTGAAGATTTAACCCCGACAAGCACTGGCTCAAGCTCAACTATTAGGCTCGATTGTTACTTAAAGTTTACATTGGATTTAGTGAGCTAGGCTTGATTGGTTATAACCCCTAATCTTGCCATGGTAAGAAAGGAAGTGTTGATAAGTCTAATCCTTCCCATTCCAAACCATTTAGGCTTGCTTCATACATGGTGTTCAAGGAGTCATTTTGATTTAGTGCGTCATAATCCAAAGCCAAATACCAATGAATATGTTTGGCTCCATCATAAATGGTCAAATCTAGCCATTAGATGTGTAATATGTCTCAAAGGTACTATCTTACGAAACTTTGCTAAGGTTTTGCGTCTTTGATGCTTATAAGGATGGCGATTTAATCCAAATCTAACCCAAGTCAGATTCTATTCGAAGGAAAAAGGTCATACCCGAGCCTGCAGAAAAAAAATTCAAAAATTGAAGTTGGTCTTTGAATTGGAGTTGGATCAGTTTGGTTGTGGTCCGACTTGTGTTTGACCATGCCCAGTCTGAGTCGGATTTAAATGGTGTACTTTGAAGATAATTATGCTTTACTATTTGATGTTGCTATTATGGTTGGATTTAGTGAGATTATGTAGTTGTGTAATTGATTTTATTTGGAATTAGCATTTAGAATAATATATTATATGAAAAAATATGTAAGGGGAAAAATTGGACCCGAACTCGGATTCCAAGGTTTGAATTTTGTGGAAATGGACTAGGTGGTCCATATCCTTTATCCAGGTCCGATGCTAAACGGATTAGACTTGTCCCATCTAAGTCGGATTTATTGCCATCCCTTGATGCTTAGAAGATCACGAGTTTGGAGCTTGTGGTTTTGTGAAGGATGGTTTGGGTTTCTATCCTTAAGCGTGTGTCTCTCCTAAGATTGCATGCTATTTTACTTTGGATGCTTGGATCGTGGATTATTTTTGAGATTGAATATGTTTCAAGCAATAATCTCTCTTGGAGAAGGGTGTGCGTAATAGTGCATTACCAAGATTATTTGAGTTGGAATGGAGTATGATAAACTCATTTTAAGCTGTCTATGATGTTGTTGGAGGTCTTAAGGTATGTTGTGGGTCTCAATATTGTTAGTGAGTGTAGATTGTGGTGGATACTCACTGAGGATCTGCTTTGTGTCAAGGCATTTTAAGCCCTTGTCTTGGTTGTTGACCTTCTCTTCTGGTTGTTTAATTCTACATTCGTACTGGCTTGTCTTACTGATAAGTGATAAGGTTTCAAGTGATCTAATTAGAAGTTTATGTTTGGTTTAGAAGCAATTGATCTAAAGAAGATGCTGCCTCATTCATTTGTTTACTCGCATTCTATCTTCATGTAGATGATAGCCAAGATGTTGAAACCAAAGGAGGTGAGGTATGCTTGAGATCAGGACATACAAGTGAAGTAAAGTCTGAAGCAAGTATTCTATATGATACCTACGCTGCAGAAACTTGCTGTGACCGAAATTCATCACCTAAATTGCAGAATGCGGATGAGTCGGGGATCCCTTCAATTGATGTTGGGCGTTACAAATCTTCAAAATTGTACAAACATATCGCTGGCCCTCTTAGTAATGGAAGTGATGCTGTGGAAGAGAAACAGGGGCATGTAGAACAATCAATTCTAGTTTCTACCTCTGAGACGCATGTTTCTGCTCCTCATGCTGTTAGTGATCAATTGGGTAATATGGAGACTGCTGATGTTGAGGAGTCTAAGCTGCTTTCTGAGGAGGCAGATCATCATTCCCAGTCAAGACAAGACATGAACCATAAAGACTCAAGGTCTGCAAATTTGATTCTATAAGTTAGTTCTTACTGGTAGTTATGCTGTGTTGATTCTTTCGCAGAACAGTGGCTCTAACGCTCCAATTATTGTTTATATTGCTAATACATGAGTTTTTCCAGATCGTGGTTTCCCCGAGTGAGGCCAAGGAGCTTGTCATCTGGCGCTGAATGCGAGGATGGAAGTAAACGACCTGCGATTATTTGTGAGTATTTCGTTAAAGGTTGGTGCATCAAAGGGAGTTCCTGTAGATTTCTTCATAAAAGAGATCATGAAAATGCTACGCAAGTAGAGGGAGGTGTGCTGCTCACTAAAAGTGAGCTTTCACCTGATAAAGGTATATTCAAGTCTGTAAGGAGTGTTGTGCGGCTGTAACGCACCTGCAATTTAATTCTTCTAATGGGTACCTCTATGTTAGCAGGTTCTGGAGATAATATAGGAAAGGGTATTCAAGAAGAGTGTGGAGTGGGATCTCGTCAATATGAAGATACAGATACGAATGCCTTGCTTGAGAGAAAGGTTTCATCTTCCCTATTTTCTATTGATTTCAAGAATTTTCCGTCTTGTAAAGATGGCTCTAGGCCAATCTCTACCTCCAGGGAGGTAGAAGTAGATAACCATGGCTTGTCAGTTGCTGAAAGCAGTTCTATACCCTGGCAGAATTTCTGCTCTAGGTTTGGATCTTCAATGAGGGAATTAGGAGTTTCTTCTGGCTTGGATTCTATCTCGAGGCTAGTGGAAGAATCGGCTGCTATGCGAAGGCGTTATTCATTGGATGCTCAGAGTTCTGTGCCTCCTTACCATTTCTCTAGTTGGAAAAACACTTCTTTACTGCGTAACTCTCCCTTGTATTCAGGATCTAATTCAGCAAAGTATTCTGATTCGAGTTATACACTGGATAGGCTTCTCTCTTTCAAGTATAAGAAGGCTTTTACTCCCTATAACTGGGAGCCATCTGTCCCCTTTCAATCCTCCTATTTCAAACCTCCAGTAAATAAATCTTCAGATGTTCCATATGACCCTTTTCGTGATAGCATTGAGAAATCTGATATTGGACGTGAATCCGTTAGGCTTTCTTCTTGTGGTCAAACTCAAGATGCAAAAAGCATCTCTGGACAGAATTCTCTGGAGTTGCCCAGAAGATTAGAAATTGAATCTTGGGACAAAAATTACAGTGGCCATGACAAAGTCATCCCTGCTGTTGAAGCAGAATCAGCTGCAACTTCTAATAGTGATGCTCAAAATAAGAGTTTGACTGAAGAGGAGAATCCTATGGTTCCTGGCAGTGTCAAAGCTATACTCAAAGCAAGCAGAAGTGTCAATGATGGTAACTCTAAGATACAAAGTGGAGAACTGAAGTTAGAAAACGGCAGGCAACCTATTGAGTTAGACGATGAAGAATCTAAGATAATTAGGTGTTTTCGTGCTGCTCTAATAGAATTCGTGAAGGAGTTGATGAAACCAATATGGCATGAAGGCCGCCTGTCGAAGGATGTATATAAGGTAATAGTTCAAAAAGCCGAGGACAAGATTCTGAGCAATTTAAAACCAAATCAAGTTCCAAATTCGTCAGAGTTGATTAAGCAATATCTGTCTTTTTCCCGTCCTAAAATATTGAAGCTTATTCAGGTGAGACTTTGGAAATCAGCTAGACATATTTAAGAGAAGATACACAAGGTGTTCTAAATCTGACATTTATTTATACCTTTTGCAGGCATATGTTGACAAATATGGCAGATTTTAGAAGCACATAATGGGTCCTGGTTATTGTACAGTTTTCTCACCTGCTGAGAGTTACATATGAGACTCTCCTGAATATGACCAGAACCTTAACTTTATAAAATGCCAGTGTAGGTATTTTTCTTGGGTGTCTTATAGGTTAGAACATTTTTATGCCTTAAGAATTTCTTTTGGTCGTACATTATGTTGAAGATTTTTGGTCATTAAAGTGAAGGCCAAGTCAAGTGGAAGCTCTTGGTGTGCAATATGCATTTATTGCTTTTTTTCTTGCCATCTTAGTTTCCTTTTAAACGACAAACTTTGAACATCATTTTAGCATATTGAGACCAAATAGATTTTTTTATGCTCACAAGTTATGACATTGGACGAATGACTTAAAACTATGCTGTTCAAATTTGGCGTTAAACTTTGAATCTGTGTTCACATGACGTAATGTTATGAACATGGGTGTGGTTTTAGCTCAGGAAAGAAGAGGATTTGAGTTCGATTGATAATTAATGTAGATGCGGATTTATTTTTATTTTTTTTGGGGGAGGGGGAGGGGGAGGGTGGGGGGGAGGGGAAGAGTATGATGATGTTAACCAAAGACAAAGGACACGTGAAATTAGGATGATGATGTTAATGAGAAAAGAGTGAAGAATCAATTTGAGTAGAAATACCAATACAAAGTTTGACATTCTTAGATGTATAATTTATCTCTAGCATGGTGCCAAAGTCAAAGCTTACTCCATGTCACATAGCTAAGAATATGAAAGAGTTATCTCAAACTCATGGCTTCTTTTGCAATCATCACAAACCACATAGTGTGCAAAAGTGAAAGCTACCTTCATGTTAGAGCGGAGTATTGCATATTTGAGAATATGAAAAAGTTGTTCTCAAAGGAAATTACTTATACCTATTAGGCTATTAATTAAAATTCAAAAATTAATTTATCCCAATCCAAACCAAATAACTAATTAAATAAACTCATTATTGATTAAAGTAGTACAAGGTGGTTTATTACTTTTTTTTTTTCCTAATTTTTAAATTTAATGTTTTATCTTAATTCTTTTTGAGACACAATTTCCATGATACAATCTTCTGCCTTCGTCCTAAAAAAATTAGGGGTGGAAATTGGGTCGGGTCGGGTCACTTTCGGGTTCGGGTCAAAAACCCCTGACCTGAAGCTGACCAATTTAAATTTTCGGGTCAGAAATCCTAACCCAAACCTGATTTAATCGGTTTCGGGTCAACCTGATTTCAACCTGTTTTAACCTGATTCTTTTTTTATGAACAAAATTAAGCCAATATTTTGTATTTTTATTCAGATCTAGCAACCCATTATATTCATCCTTTAATTAATTTTTATAATTTAATACTTAGTATGAAATTGGAATCCACACAGGTTAACTTTATACGAAAATTGAAGTTACATTTTCAAAATAAAACAAAATAATGATCCATATGAAGCGTCAAATGCATGAGTTGGTAAACCATGAAAAAGCAAAAGCTGAACCTTGCATGTCCTGCAAAACAAAAATAAGAAAAATTAGAGAAAAAAATAAGGATGAAATTTTTTTTAGACATCAGTCATAAAATAAATTGAAAGACAATTACAGAAAGCAATTCAGGAAATGAGAAACAAACATAGAAAACGAAGTAAGTAAAAAAATAGAAGTCATATTTTTAGTTGATGAAGATCTGGGTTAGAATATTAGTGAGAAACTCACTTAAAGGAAAGAGAGAAGAAATGATGAGAGAGAATCAGTGAGTGGAAGTATGAAAGCATGTGACGGTGGCTGGTGGGTAGGGAAATAAATATTAGGGTTTTATTCTTTAGGTATTATATATATATGATACAATGTGGATCTTGCCCAAAAACTAAACATGTTCTAATATTTTTTCGGGTCAATTCGGGTTACTTTCGGGTTGAAATTCTCAACTTTAACCTAAACCATTTACATTTCAGGTCGGGTTTGTGTCGACCCATTTAATATATCGGGTTGAAAATCTCAACCCAAACCCGTTATTTTCAGGTCGGGTTCGGGTCGGGTCAGCTTTTGCCTGCCCTTTGCACTTTCCTTTGCACAAAGTTTAGGTGATAAATGGTTATCAATTGTTATTTTAATGAATAAGTAGATGTGCAAGGAATTAGTGGAGGTAGTCTTGGGACCAAAGTTTATAGTAGTCGTTAGAGAAGTATTAAACTACTAATGCAAAATTGCAAAGAATACATTAGTACATAAGTCAATATAATAAAACTTAAAACAAGCATTATGGGACCGTGTAGATGGTTTAAGAAAGCTTAAAAGAGCATTATGGGATATAGTAGACATGGGATGAAGTAGATACGTTCAATTTTAAAAATAAATAATCTGCTTTGTATTAGAACTACAACCAACATAATGACAAGTTTTGTTTGATTTATTTGCTTACTTTATGTCCAAATTATTGTGAACCATAAAAAAGTCAAGCTTGCAATATAGGTTAACCCAAGTTGATTAGTTGTCGTTTGCTCATCGAAGTCTAGATGCTTTACCAACCTATGATATGGACAATAATTGGAATCAAAAGTCTTTTAACATAAACCATTTTCCAACTTTATTTTCAAGAAAGGCAAATCAAATTTTATAGGAATACTTCTTATGTTGAATTGTTTCAAATTGGGTTTATCTTTCTTAACAAAGTTCAAAGATAAATCATTTATCTCTTATTTTGCCTTTTTTGAAATCTTCATAGGCGATGAGGTGATAGTTACTAACAATGTCTCTTTAGTAACTTTGGAGGACTAGTCAATTTTGTGAGTCCTTCTCTTTCTTCATTTGTGATGAAGTCCCTTTTCTCTTTGTTATAGGTGATTGGAATTTGGTAGTCCCTTTTCTCTTTGTTATAGGTGATTGGAATTTGGTAAGTTAATGTCATGAGCTCTTATTGCTGGTTCTTGAAAGGAATATGGCTCTATTCCTTCAATAATATAATATATTAGGAATTAACGGGGCCATTCCATTGATGCACATCTCAACCATGAAGGCGATCTTTGGATATAACTCAAAATGCACGAATGGTTGATGTAGTCAAGTACATCCTTCCATTGATGGGTTTGGGATAGCTCAATCATGCCAAAGAAGCTTTTTAAAATTTTTGTCCTTTTGATCTAAGCTATTAATATTATGTGTACCAAAGGGAAGCAATTCCCTTAGAGTGAGCATATGGATTGTTTATTAGTTAGTCATTGCGGTACCACCATGATTATTGCATGTCTCTATGAAGTGAGGGACATACTTTCAAGGTTAGTTGGAATTTTAGAGGCTAGTAATTGGATGACTTTTATAGCATATTGATATTCTTGGTGTAGAGATTCACATAATGATGACTATCATGAGAGCTTTTAAATTATTTTTTGGAAACTTTGGCTATATCTTGAATTAGAGGAGTTTATAACGAGTTCATCAAGTTTGCCAAACCTAGAGTTGGTACTAGCCTTCAAGCCGATGACATCACTTCCAGCATATAGGAAGGTTGATTTAGGCATCAATTTGTTTGTTATTATGCTTGATTTGGGCATCTTTTTCTTCTTTCTTTAATTCAAGAAGGAGGTTCATGCCGTGTCCATCTCAGCAAATTGTTCCAAAAAATGTATTGGCTCGTGTCACCATAACAAATTTGACTCTTTAACACCTCTTCAAATCAGTTGACTGTCGGAGGCAACAAAATGAGAGAGCCCATCTAATGTCATTCATCGAGTGTTTATGTCATGTCCAACTTTCTATTGAGTGAATCAAAGGCAAGTTAGGAGAGGATGAGGGGTTAAGTCAATCTCGTTCTAGTATGACTATAAAATTTTAATATGGAGGTGCTAGCATTCACTCATTCTTTTTTTTTTTTTCTTCCCAACTTTATTGTTTTCATTAGCTTTTCATTCTAATCTCCAAAGGCATGCGCTATGTTGCTCGTACTCGTGTGCCCATGTCCAACTTGGGTATGTGTGCAATTGTCTACCTTGTCTATTTTGTGAAACAATCTCATGAATTTAGTAAAAAAAAATTAAAAAATTGAAAGGTGTAAGTGTTTAACCCATGTTCAAGTGTCGACAATCTGATATGGGTACATATCCGTGCAAGGGTTAGATATAGACATCTTTAGTGTTGTCGGGCCGCATGCACATACTACACTCCATATTAGTATGATATTGTCCGCTTTGGGCCTAGCCCGCATGGGTTTGTTTTTGGGCACCTTCCCAAAATGCCTCATACAGGAAGTCCTCTCCTTATTTCTTCCATGCAGGACTTGGGATGAACAACCCAACAAGTGTGGGCCATAAAGCTTCCAAAGCTTGGTAATGGTGATTATAAATGATATTATAACCCATGTTTGGCTCAATTCAATCTAGAAGGGAAAGGTTGAGGCCTAGGGGAGGGATTAATTGAGTAGAGAATTGTGGCTAGATGATTGGTTGAATGCATTTAGGTTCACTGCTTATTTCTGAATTATCAAATTAATTTGATGAGAAACTGGGTGTAAATAAATTTCCATGTGTTTTTTTTTATAAAAGGTTTACTCTTTACCGCGGGCTTGATAATTTAACACGAGTAAATTATTTGTGGTATCTGATGTTACATTTCTTTCTATTGGAAGGTGTACTTCTTTGATTTCCATATTGTTGATATACTTTTGTCTGCTAGGAGCAACTATAACATTGGTTGGTTATTCTTTAAATTTGTTCAACTAGCTGATTATGCTTTACCAAGTATATATTGGTTAGTTGTTTTTTTGGCTTAATTTCATCATATGTTTTGCCTACATTCCGTCTGGTGTGCATAGAGAAAAATATTTGGAATAAGTTTAATTCCATATTGGTGCATGGCCTCTTCTAGAATTATATGGAGACGATTTTCATAGTTTACTTATTCTACCCATGTTTCTCCCTTTTGTATTGTATGCTGCCCGTACTTGCATCTTGACAAGTCCTCTTGAGGAACTGCAGCTGCCAATTTCATTTGCAGCTCATTTGATCCCAAGTCCAATTTTATGCTGCTTTTCGTTTGCAGGTAAAATTTGTTGGAACTTTATGGTGTATATGATCACTTATAATTTGAGCTGTTTCATTTGGATATATATGATATTTTTTCTTTTTTGAACCTTTACTGTTATTTTTTCGAATTTATTGAATTTTTCTCAAATAATAAGAAAGAAAGAATCGTAACCTTGGAAGGAAGACATACCCTTACATAGTGTACTGCTGGATATAATATTCTCAAGATGATTGGATTTAGTCCTAAATAAATGATGTTTTATAATTCTTTTGCTTGCATCCAGACATTGTGTAGTTAAATGGACTCGGGTGTCATGCTATATATTTCATCTTTTTCTTAAAATGCATTCTGTAGCCTGTTTTGTAGTTTCATGGAACTATTTTGTCAGCCAGCTTGGTACTAACTTATTTTGAACAGCGAGAAGAATTGGTGAAGAGCCATACTGCTGTCTGTTTGTTTGTAGTGTTTTTAGTTGCTTTCGA